CCTAGTTCTCAGGAAGATAAAGGGGGGGGGGGAGCGCATTCAGACTTGCAAGATTCTGTACCTATAACCTTACAATGATAGTAGTACTGACCTACATGACATTGGATTCCTCGTCTGATCTACCTCCAAGGGCTGACAGCCTGTCCTATCCTGAAATTTGCATGGGAGATCTCCCTGTGGTCTATATTGCTATATCTAGTCCCATCCTTGGCAACTTTAAGATGCATGGACTTCAACTCCCAGAATTCCCCAGCCAACATGGGGAATCGAAGAATCAAAGTCTGTGCAAGGTTGTCATCTAGTCTATGAAATGTCTTCACACTGCTAACTGTCTCTCTATCTCTCTATCTCTCTGACAGTAGGGATACCTTGCAACTTGATTATCTCCCCGAGTGTCTGCCCAGCCATTTCAATCCAGCAGGGTTGGCACACACTCCGGGCTTCTTTGATTAAACAATGCCATCTATCAGGACCTTGGAAGCGCACCTTCTCTGTCACAGTGCCTGCCCTCTGGAATGAGGTTCCCCATGAGATCTGGGTGGCTCCTACCCTACTGGCATTTCAGAGGGCCTTGAAGACTTGGCTTTTCACTCAGGCCTTTGGTGAGGATGGGTGGAGCCTCTTTTGTGAGGAGTGTGTGTGTGTTTGTTGCTGCTCACTTTTGCCATCTTTGTTTTTTTCTTTTATTGCTCTATTGTTTTTACTGTTTTATAGTTCTCAAGCTTCTGGTGAACACCCAGAGTTGTTGAGAGTTCGGCGGTGCACAAATGGTATAAAATAAATTTAAAATGTTAATTAATTTCAAGAAGGATGCACCACTTTTTTTCAAACTTAGGTCTTGAATGATATGCTTGGGGCCACAGTCCCCAAAGTAGAGAGGTTAAAGTAAAGAGTGGGGGGAAAGGAGGGAGGGAGGAAGGAAGGAAGGAAACAGAAGGAGGGAGGAAGCGAGGAAGGAAACAGAGGGAGGGAATAAATATAAATTAAATCAAGCTAACAATGCAGTAAGTATGACTTTGCCTTGCATAGTCAAGGATTTTCCCACATTAAAATGTCCAAGCCTGGTGATTTCTGAAGGGCCACTCTATATTTATGAGGCCAATGAAAAATATGTTTTGAGGTCGGCCTTTGAATTTTCAGCAAAAGGGCCCTTGCCCATCTCCCTCAATCAATGCTGAACCTGCCCCTCCCCAATCAGATTTCTCAAAAGAAACTTAGCCTTTCCCCCACCTTGTCATTAATCAGGAGTTCAATGGGGTTATTCCCCCACTCAATCAACACCACTTCGTTGGTTTGTCCTGGAACGGCGTAGGAGAAAGGTGTCCCAATTCCAGGGGATGCGCCGGATTTCAGCCATAAGCAAACAGTGAAAGCATAGAGCTCCGGGAGCGTCTTCTTGATCTTGCCATACAAGTAGTTGGTGCGAAGAGGGAGGGAGACTTTAAATTCATCTGGTGCTTTAAAGGCGCTGGTACCTGAGGGCCAGAAACAAAATCATCTGCACAGAACACAGGATTGTCCCCAGTCAAGAGATTATAGCTGGTTCTTCAGCTGCTAAAATTTTAGCGGGGTTGGCGATTCATTCCATGCCTTTTCGCCAATTCATTTTAGCTGAGTCATAATCACCCACTGGTGCTGACTCATGATATGCATCAGTTCCAATTAGGCATTTGTGCTAATTCACCAAGTCAATTGATACAGGATTAGAAACTATAGCTCCTAAAGCTAAGAGGTATTACCAATAATTTATATAAGCCAAAGGTATGTTTTTATCTGAAGATTTTCCCATCTCCTTCTCTATTAATCTTACTTCCAGTATCAGATTGTGAGAAGGTGAGCAGTGGGGAAGGGGCAGAACAGGGGAAGAGGGGTGTCCATAGCTTAGTAACACAATACATGAGTGGCAAAACATCTGAGGGTCACAGGTTATAACAGATGATGGGGAAAGCCTTCTCTGTCCAGGAACTGTAGACAATCTGAAGTCCTTCAGATGTTTTGCACTTCAGTTCCCATCAGCACTAACTAACTGACAAGTGGAAGACTCACCCCTTCCTGATAACCCAATATAAATGTACACCCCCTTCCAAAGTTGGAAGCAATCCAGAAGTCAGCAGGTGGGGTAGACGAACTTGACCTAAAGGCTGATAACTGCTGAAATTGTCTGTGGGAATGACCTTGGGAGACAGGGAGAAGAGCTGCAGGCTAGACAACAGTCAGATAAGAGGCAGCTGAGCCTGCAGAAGGAAAGGGAGCGAGACAAATGTCTCAGTAGGGACCTTCCCTAGTTTCTTGGGCTGTAAAGGTGAGGGGTGAGAGATGTACTTCCAGACTTGCAAGATTCTGTTAATATAACCTTACAATAAAGTTAGAACTCGTACTTCTGGGTGTGTTTCTTGTCTGGACTATCCCACAAGGCTGACAGATGGAGAGCGAATATCAGCTTTCTATCATCAGAACTGGAGATTTCTCTCCAACCTTGGCAAGAGAAATCCAAGTGAGTGAGTGAATGAATGAATGAATGAATGAATGAATGAATCCAATGGGCCCTGCACTGCCCTCCCAAGGCCCAAAGGATCTCAGTCTTATAAGATAGCCTAGCTCAAGAGGGTAGGCAGTTGGTACTTCTCAAATGCTTTGGACTGGTTCTATTTCACCAGCCAATGGCTGTAGTCCATAATATTTAGAGTGATAACAGATTGCCGACCTAGCAGATAAGGAGATAAACAATCTGATACTAAATAAAGGTTCCTATCATCTGAGAGTGGGCCAGTCTAAAATGAAAGCAACTGAAATCAGGAGGAGGAGGAGGAGGAGGAGGAGGAGAAGGAGAAGGAGAAGAAGGAAGGAAACCTGATTTGATTAAGTTTTGCTTTTTTGAAATACATGGATCTGGAGGCCTCTGGAATCAATTGAATTGAAATTCAGCAACTGATTAGTGCAAAAGGAAGATGAAAAAGTTGCTTCTCTTACTTCCAAGCGAGGGAGAAAGAAAATCTTCTCTTTCTTACTAGGCATAATTTAACTTACGGAATTGACTGCCATCAGATGTGGTAATAGCCCCTAGTTTTGGGGGCTGTTCAAGAGAATTCGACAGATTTAGGGAGGAAAAGGGGATGTTTATGTGTGGAACTCACAGGTTTAGGGGCAGCGTGTCTGTGAGTTTCAGTTGTTGAGGAATTTTTTCTCCTCCAGTGGAGTTTCTCATCCGAGGTGACTTCCTGCTGCCTGAAGGGAATCTTCTTCAGAGCATCAATATGTCAATAATTAGAGGAGGATTAGAATTGCATTGTTAGCTATTAATAAATTTTGGAAATAGAGTCTGGCATTGTAACTGTGGGAGAGATCATAGGGATTCTATGTAAGATAAAAAATAAAGATGCTGTTACTTTGCATCACCCTGTAGAAATCACATAAAGGAACGCAAATCCCTAAGCCAGCGAAGAATCTAGGTCAAAACTCACCCTTTGACAAGCCAACATTTCTTATTCTTGCCTATGCTCCCCGACTCCCAAACATCAAGCAGGAGAGTATAACAAGGGGGTTGGAAGGATGACAGATCTGCTATGACAAAAGTGCTTTGAACACTCATGTGCTATTCAAAAGTGACTGATTACTGCTGGAATATATAGGGGCCTTTAGCTGCAAGATGTAATGCATAAAAGGGGGGGCAGGTCATGAGGTATGACCCAGATGGGGCCTTCCCAGATCCAGGTTCTCTCAGGACTGTGTCACTGCTTCATGGATGTCCGCAGGGTGTGATAAAAAAAAAATTAAGGATGATGGCTGCAGAGGGGCAATTGAAGTTCCACCTGCTTTTATATGCAATGTGCAAAAAAAAAAAAAAATGGAATTTCAGACATACCAGCCAGCCTCTATCTTGACTTTTTTTTCCTATACCCTGTGGACACCCTTGGTTGTGTAGGTGGGGGTGTCTGTGTGTGTTCTAAAACAATTCTTCACAGTTAAGGGGAAAGGTGGAAAATCTGGGCTTGGCTCACTCCACTGAAGTCATCAGGACCTTCAACTTAACACTTCGGAGAGGAGAGGAGAGGGAGAGGGAGAGGGAGAGAGGATGGATAGAAATTAAGCATGCACCATTGGCCTCACAGGAGGTGGAAGTAGAAAACCATCCACAAGGTTCACTGATGTTGCCTTTTAGGGAGGAAAGTCAATGTATCAGTTACACCAAGCATTCATTGGGTGAATTTTCTGATGCACTTGTCACACAAACCATTCTTGAGAACAAGATATGAAGGGCCGTCAAGCTTACCTCTTTCCAGTTCAGACACCCTTTCTAGGAGCGCGTTCAAGGCTGCTTCTGTCCTCTGCCGGTGGGTGGATGTCTCGTTATGAAGCAACCATTTCTCGTTCTCCAGTTCGGCCACTTTGCTCAGCAGCTGGCGCTCCAGCTCTCCAAGTCTCCCCTGAAGCATCTCTCTCAGGTCCATGGGCAGGGCTCCAAAAGTCACATTGCCTCGAAGCTGGTGCTTCAAGAAGAGGGGAAGATATGAAATCACACACCATGGGAGATGAGTACCAATCTCATTGGTTTAATTCATTAGGCATCTTACTGCTCTCTGTGCTCGTACTACTACAAATACACCAATACGACTCATACATCCAAGCCCAGGTGCCTACAATGTACCCATTTATTTATTTAAATAATGTATATGGCAGCCCATCTCACAAGAGTGACTCTGAGCAACGTACAAAGATTAAAACTCAACAGTTTAAGCAAGTGCATGACACCTCCCAACCATAAAAACACATCATCATCAACAACAGGGCTAGCCTGGCCCAAACACTGGG